GGGAGTCAGAGTTGCTCTGTGCCAACGTTCCTGCTGAGAGCAAGCCCAGTTCCATTATGTGTGGGGGAGCCCCCCTTCGCACCCTTGTGCCTGTTTGGGGTACACAGATACAGCTGACTACAGGGAATGCAAAGTTAAGAAACCACATGGCAGGAACGCTATCACTTTTTCATAATGAGCTCTGTGCAGGAAACTAAAAAAAGAAAAAATCAGGTTCTATCATTCAGGGCAGCTGGGTACTTGTATGAAAAGCTACTTCTGCTCCGTAAGCAAGAAGAATGCAGAAGAATTGTGGACAGACTCTCAGAACGAGCAGGCGCTCCAGGAGCCCCATCTGTCTTTTTAAAGTCTTCTAACTAACTCGAGTACCACAGACATTAACTGCTTGGCTTGTGCCTTCATTCTGCACGTGAAGAAACTGAGGTTCAAGGAGCCAGAGTGGCTTTCCCACATTGCAGTTGGAGTTAGGAGCCAAGCCACAGTTTGGAGTACCTGGGTCTCCTGCCTCCCGTGGGCCAAACTGTAGTCCCTAAACCTGAGTATGCTTATAATTAGCCAGGTTGTCAGCAGTAAGACAGGAGATGTTGCCTGTTTTATCAAAATAGGACTTGGTTTTATGAATCCATCCCTATTGACTTGACTCTTAACCCCTCACAAGGCCTGTGTGTCTTGCACCCCCATTTGTCTCTCCATGCTCTTCTGCCTCTAACCGAGCGGCACGTATCCCCAAGGAACGCCCCACTCACCGCTTTCCTGTCTTGGAAGGGCCACTTAAGCCCAGGCCTTTGTGTAGTGCCTGTATTTCATTCTTTCTGAACTTGTCTAACTCCATAGATTGTAATTCTGGAACCCTCTGTATGCGGTTTGTACAAGTAGTATTTTAGGCTAGTTTGCATAGGACCTATCATATTTTGTAAGCAGGCACGGAGTCAGTTCTCACTTGAACTCTTTGTTTTTAAACATTACTCTGCCCTATTAAGAATCTCCTGCTTTGGAGCCGTATCTGTTCTCCTTTCCATCATCTCTTTTCCTGTCTTGGTAGTGATCATGAGGAGTGCCTCCCATTTGGGGTCATTTAACCTCTGTCCAGTCACAGAGAAAATTCATGAGCAATAGTACATTCTCCAAAGTCCAGTTCTGTGCATAAGGACCAGAGTGCTCTGACTCTGGCTTATAACAAAATACTGCAGAGCCCTAATCCCATCTGCTCAGATCTAATACTACATCTGACCCAGGTTTTTCTCCAAGTGGACCTCAAAGCTTCACTTACTGAGCACCTGCTAGGTTTATAATGCAGTCCTCTTAGCTGCGAGTGCCCTCCAGGTACAGGACTGTGCCCAGCATTGCACCTGATACGAAGTAGGAGAACCAGCAATACGTGTTGAATGAAGGGGATCAGTGAAAACTGGGTTTTTCTCACTGTCCGGTCCCGAGGCCGCTCCAGAGGGGAATGGTTCTCCCGTGGCCTCATACATCCAGTTGTTTCTTTCTTTCTTTCTTTCTTTTTTAATTTTGGCTATCCTGTTTTCTTTTATTTTTTTTAAGGATTTTATTTATTTATTTGACACAGAGAGAGAGACAGCGAGAGGAGGAACACAAGCGGGGGAGCGGGAGAGGGAGAAGCAGGCTCCCCGCTGAGCAGGGAGCCCGATGCGGGGCTCGACCCCAGGACCCCGGGATCATGACCTGAGCCGAAGGCAGATGCTTAACCACTGAGCCGCCCAGGTGCCCCCTCCAGTTGTTTCTTGAGGCTGAGCTGCAACTTGACTTTCTTCCAAAGATGAAGGGGAAAGGCATTATTCATCTGAGACTTGCCTTGCAATGTTTAGCACAAATTTGGTTTCTAAGGAAAGACTGGCAAAGCACTGACACCGGAAAAATTATTCTTAGGTATTCTCTGATGACCATAGACCAAGTGAGGTTTTTGTATAGTTACCATAGCCATGAAAATAGTCACCGGACAACATTCCTAGTGGCGAAAAACACCAATCCCTAGAACTTCTTGGATTAATGTCAGGGAGTAGGGCTGACAGAACCGTGATACCGGCTGGGCCAGCACTCCCCTTACCAGCCCCAGACATTTACTCAGTGTCTTACTGTGTGTGAAACCTGTGATTTCTCCATGCCTTTGCTTGTTTCTTGTTTCTGTCGCTCTGAAGGCCAGCTGCTAGTTTTGCAACTGATGGTGTGTGACCATCATCTGTATCTTCAAAAGGGGACATTCCTACTCACTTTGAAATCAATTTGGAGTTCAGGGACAAGGTTTTGGTGGTGTGTGGCTCACTATTGGTGCTCAGTAAATATAGAAAGGAAGGCAGACAGGGCAGGAAGTAGAGAGGAAGGGAGGGGCATAGAGCGAGTGACCCACCCCTGGCCCCTGGCATCAGTCTCCCTGGGCTGGCGACGGGCTCTACCAGCCACCTGCCGGGTAACCTGGGAACGTCCGTTGGCTTCCAGCTCTTGGTCGCCTTTAACATGAGATAGTACCTACTATGAAGGGTTTTTACGAGACTTAAATGAGCTCATACATGCCAATGTCTGACACAGAACGACTCAGCAAATGTTAGTTTTTTTATTATAATTAATAATAAGTTCATGAATTCCAGTGGTTGCCTTTTTTTGAGAAAGCACTTGCCTGTTTATCTTCCTGGACTTTAAGATGAGTCAGTGAATATGGATTCCTCAGGGCAGAGAGAGCCAAGAACCCGAGAATTCCTCAGGAGAACGGGCGGTCGCGGGGGATAGCCTGGTTAGGGACTCCCCATGGCGCTGTCCCAGCTGCCCTTGCGAGGTTTCATGCTTGAGATCTGAGGCTTCAGTCATAACTTTCACCTGACTGCTATTCTCTTGCCACAAGAGAGAGCCAGATTCTCCTTTCCGTCATATACATGTAATTTCTTCCTGAACAAGAGGGAGAGAGAGCATGTCTGCCTGAGAACAGGGCCTTTATTAGCCTGTCTTTCCAGGGAGTTTACCTTGAGGTAGAAGACAGACAAGACAAGCTGGCAAGGCGGGCGAGGGACCATCTGGCTGGGGGGCTGTTGCCCACCCAGTAATCTTTAGGGCCACATGTTAGTATTTTTCAACCTCTTGGAAGCTAGCGTTGTCCTACAAACTAAGAAACTCTAATTCTAGCTCTTTCAGAGACGTCACTGTCTTTCCCCCACAGGTTTCCTCAGAATGAAAGTATATTTTCTACATGTTTTTTTGCCATGAGGGAGAGGCATAATAAAAACATAAAAGCATTTAATCCAGTGAATGAGTAATATTAGAGGCTGAAGGAAGTCAGCATTTCCCCAATATTTTCCTGAAGCAATTGATATGCATAGGCAGTTTGAGGGAAGACGGGAAGACCTGCTTTGGAAAGTCTAGCTGCAGTAACTCCTTTTACAATCAGCTCCATTTCTCTGCATTGAACAAGGAAGAAGAGGGGCCCCGGCTTCTCCTGCCTGTGTGTAGTTACCATGTGTGGGTATTTACTCTGTACTAGGCTGGGTTTTAAGTCCCGAGTACCTTCACTTAATCCTCAGGACAACTGGATTCTGAGGTAGATACTATTTTTAGCCCCATTTACAGAGGAGGGAACGGAGGCTCAGAGAAATTAATTTCCCAAGGTCAAACAGTTGGTAAGTGATAAAATCAGTAAAACTTCCAGGCTCCAGAGCCTTTTCTCTCAACCATGACTACACTGCCTGAGGAGTTATTAGCCCTACTTGAGGATCTCAAGGGGCAGGAGGGGCTGAAATGTAGCATTTCTCTTCTCCAGGCTTTTAAAAACTTTTATTTTCTGTAGGATTCCGGGCAAAAGTCGCATTTTTCATCTCAACAAGAGCAAACTGCCCATATGGGCTCTATGGGGACTTGGCATTTTCCATAATGGGACCTCTGCCCCATAGTAGAGTAGCACTCTGTTACAGCTCAGGTTCTCTGGAAGCAGTTGCTGAGACAGAGTTTGCCATGCTGATTATTTATGAGGGGTCCCTGCTGAAGGGAAGTGGGCACAAGGGGAAACTGAACTGCAATGCAGGCCTGGTAGCTTCCACCAACAGCAGGCAGCATGATGGCACATAGATGGTCCTTTGGAGCTGTCCTGTGGTGAGCTGAAAGGGAGGATCTTCATACCCCTGCCACCAGTGGATAGGGCACCCAGGGGAAGGGGATCCTCTTGGGCAAGGATACGCTCTTCATCTGAGGCCAACTGGCAACATTTCTACTCACCGAGGTAATCAATGTGTTCTTCCTCGAAGGGAGGCTGTAGGTGGTACATTCCTGTTTCCATTTGGATGCTTTCAATTTCATTAGAAACACGACTTCACACAGTGGTAAATGCTATCTCCAACCTAGCTTCTTGTTTGCTTGGCTTCTAAGTAAATAGGCATTGCACGCACATACAGACAGAACCTCAGCTGTCTGGACTCCTTTTACTTATAGAACTAGGCAGAGGCAAAGGTGTAACATCTGTATTTTTTGAACCACATGATTAAAAAGTCACCTTTGAACCACCTGATTAAAGTCATACCTGGCAGTTTTGTAAATCCGTGAAGAGTTTTCTTTTACATTCATCATGTCTTTCATGTGGAGCCAGTTGGCCTTTTTTTTTTTTTCTTTTTTTGAGACCAGAGTCCAGAGCTAAAAGCCACAGTACAGTGGTAGAAAACCTCTAGTCACATTTTGCTTGCCAGTTGCCTTTAAAGAAATCTTTCAATGATTGTTTCCAGATTAAACCCCTTTTCAGTGCTCTTTCCATCATGAAACTAACGCAGTCTTCCAATTCACTTCCAGTTCACTTCCAATTAGACATTAAACTGCATCCCAACTGACTTGTATCTTGTCCACCCAAGTTGACCAAGTTGACCACAGGAGCTGTTCCTGCATTGTCCATGGGGCTGGTTTGCCTTGCAGGATCCATCCGTGCTGCCTCCCACCATTGCCTACAGTTGGCTCTGGCCACTGACTGTCTCAGCTGCAAGGTGTGCAAAACCTCCCTCCATTTCTTTCAGGTTGGAAAGCTTATCCAAGAAGCAGCTGGAAGAAGTAACTTGAAGCGAGTAACTCTGGAACTTGGAGGGAAAAGTCCCAATATTATTTTTGCTGATGCTGATTGTAAGTCAACTACAGATCTCCTCCATGTCCCGGTACACTGCCCCTCGGTGCTCTCTTGTATCTCCGCTTTTGACAGGACACTAAGAAAAAGATCTGTGAGGCTAAGAAGAAGCTTCAAGTAGAAGAACCTGGACCCTTCCTCCTAGGGAGAAACTAGTTTAGTATTGGGGAAGAGCAGTTGCCAGTTGATAGCTGAACAGAGTGTTTTCTAGATCCTCCTGAACTGCTTTGACTCTGTGGCCCTGCAGGCCAGGGTAGAAGAGAAGAAAGCCAGCTTCGTGCTGTGTAGTGGAAAGAGCAGTGGTCTAAGCCTCTCAAAACCAGAAATATCTTCTCTCTGCCTAGATTCAAGAAATCTGAAACTTCTCAGAGGTGTCTGGTGGCTTTGTAAATCATTAAAAAAAATTCTAGTTCACTATCCCTGCCAGCATTTTCCCAAACGCACAACCCCTCCTCTGTTTAGTACCCCCATCTTCTGCTGCTTCCATGACTTTGAGCCACAACGTCGACGCGCTTTGGTCAGGTGCTTACACCATGGAGGTAGGACCCTATGGTGGCGTGGAGCAGTAATCTAGGAAACCCCATGTCTCCAGGCTGGATGCCCCCTAGGCCATTCTGCATCGGTGTGGTCCTTCTGTTTTGAAAAGCTTTCCAGGGAATAAAAATTCAAAAGCTCTTTCGGTCCCTCTTTCTCTTCCTCCCATCCCACCAGACAGAGCTGCTTTCCCTTTCACCACTGGGAGGTCAGAAAACAGCGGATTGCTTGCCTTTCAGCCCCAGCTTGGAGTCCATGAAGAATTCAGCATCAGCTTCCTGCTGGTTGTCAGAGGGATCAGAACTGTCACACCTAAATTTCTCTTGGGGAGTAGGTCCTCCATTGACACGACTAATTGATTGATGAGTGACTGATTGATTCAGTCAGTCATTTAGCAACTAGCACACACCGTATTTGCTAGTCCTATCTTGAAGTGTAAGCTCTGAGATGAAAGAGTTATTTGCTGCTATACAATTCCAGTAAATGTAGAGAAAACTTGGTGTCTTTCAAGAAGATCCATTTCTGTTACAGTTTAATTCACCATAATACTAATTAAACATACAGCTACAAGGTTCTATAGATCAAGGGTTGCAAGTTGGCAGTCCCTAGACCCAACGCAGGGCATACATATGTTTAATTGTCGAAACGTCACACAGCACTTTAAAAAATAAAAACTGCACATTAAAAATCCTGATTTCAGGGGCACCTGGGTGGCTCAGTTGGTTAAGCGACTGCCTTCAGCTCAGGTCATGATCCCAGGGTCCTGGGATTGAGTCCCACATCAAGCTCCCTGCTCAATGGGGAGCCTGCTTCTCCCTCTCCCACTCCCCCTGCTTGTCTTCCCTCTCTCGCTGTCTCTCTCTCTGTCAAATAAATAAATAAAATTTAAAAAAAAAAAAGAAAAGAAAAATCCTTATTTCTATTTTTTTCTTAAAATCGGAATCTGGCAACCAGAGGCTTACATTCATGCATAGCAACAGCCAAATGCAGTGGCTTTCCTTCTGAGTCTCCATCAGATTGTTTTCCTGGCTGGCTGATTGATACCACTACATTATCTGCCTGGCCCCTTGGCACATGGAGCTTGAGACTCCTGTTCTAGATGGTTGTGGTCCAGGCCCTCATTCTACAGAAGAAGAACGAGACTCAAAGAAGTGAAGTTGTCCAAGTTCAAGGTCATGTAGCAAGTCACGTCAGGATCTAGTCAGAACTTGAACTAAACTGTGTTCTCAAGCCAGTGCTCTCCCCTGTGCTGCCTCCTCACGGTGAATGCTGTACGGTGAGCGCGGCAATTAGACCCGGGGCTCTGGCAGAGGGAGGGGAGGGGGCTGCATGGACGGGCCCTCCGCGGGTGAACCGTGCTGAGGACACGGCTGTCTCCTCTTGCAGTGGACTACGCTGTGGAGCAGGCCCACCAGGGAGTGTTCTTCAACCAGGGCCAGTGCTGCACCGCCGGGTCTCGCATCTTTGTGGAGGAGTCCATCTATGAGGAGTTTGTGAGAAGAAGCGTGGAGCGGGCCAAGAGGCGCATCGTGGGGAGTCCCTTTGATCCCACCACGGAGCAGGGACCCCAGGTAGAGAAACCATAAACATTCCCTTTCTTAATGCCTGGCGAGCGCCGGGCACTCTAGTGGGACCCCAGAAACAGAGTCCTTTTCCCGCCTCCTCCTTGCTCTCCCACCTCGGCTTCGCGGCTGGAATTGGAGCTGGTGAGGCATTGCTTATTCCTCAAGCTTCCCTCTCCCTTTCGAAATGTTATCTCGGAAACATTAAGAGATTAAAGTTGCCTCAAGGATACTTTGAACTCTGGGGGTAAGTGGGAGTCTCTTAGCTCTAAGGAAGGACCTGAGCATGACAAGATGGAGGTTGACCTGAGAACCCAGTCCCAGTCCTCACCAGTGGCCTTCAAGACACCCCTGCAAATGCCACGGTCAAGGAGAGTGGGTATCTCTCTTTCTCAGAAGCCCTGTATCCTTTCATCCGTGGCTAAGGAATCTCTCCACCAACCTGGCCTACTTGTGGCTTGTAATGTGTAGGGAATAGAGGGCTGTCTACTCTCCCCCTACTGTATGGTTGTCTCTTACTCTGTAGGCTTCATGCAGTGCGGTGCGGAGGGCCACAAAAGTCCCACACTATCTGGCTCTGCACGTTCTCCGCAATCATCAAGGTGTATTTCCGGATAGAATTCTGGTCGAATCTTAAACTGTAGATAGAGTCTGGGAATTTTTAAAGGATACTTGGGTCAGATTGCATCTGGATCTCTAGCATATAGGTCTTCCTGATAAGAAACAACATCTCCTAGATTTGGGGACCATTTGAAAGATGACTGATGTCCTAGCCGAGTAATTCAAACTCAAGTGAATTTAGGTTTTTGTATTTACCATCATAATTGAATGATGACTATAACTTGGGGGGTGGGCAAGACTAACTGTATTTTATGGAGTAGGAAGCTGGTCCCTGCTCTTTATACTTAACCTTTTCTTCTAGAGGTGTAATAGGAGCTCCATTAAAAATAGACCCCAGTAGGATTTGAAGCACCATGGAGCTTAACCTATTGTTTTCATCTTTTTAGTATCAGTTCAACTTGGTGAATTGTTCATTTGGTTATAGCGGTCAGTTTTTCCCCATTTAGAAACCGCAAATAATCAATTAGCCAGTTTCTCCATCACTTAGAAACATTGCCTAACTCTGCATCTGGTACTTCTGATTTGGCACTATCATCCATGCGGTGCATTTAATGGAATTCTCAATATATTGGGTTAAACATACAAAGTCACCGTTTTTTCAGAGAACAGTGGCTAAATGGCAGCAGTCCCCTATGACATGAGTAGATATAAATGGAGCTTTGAAAAAAATCACAAGTGAGAGATCCTTGAGTACACACTTCTTTCTCTTTTCATTGAAGACTTTACATGGAGTCTTTAGGAAATTTCTCTTGCAGATTGATAAGAAACAGTACAACAAGATCCTGGAACTCATTCAGAGTGGCGTGGCCGAGGGTGCCAAGCTGGAATGTGGAGGCAAAGGGCTGGGCCGAAAGGGGTTTTTCATCGAGCCCACGGTGTTTTCCAACGTCACCGACGACATGCGCATTGCCAAAGAGGAGGTATCAAACATGGGGTTCAAGCGGAAGCCATGCCTTTTCTTGGGATGGCTTCCAGAGCATTTCTTGTAGATGATATTCTAGCTCTGGCTCTTTATATTTGATATACGTTCTGTAACAACACACATGGCTGTGCAAATCCCGCTTTCAAGAAAATGTTAAATCAGAAGGCAAGCAAGTTAGATGGAGGCAGGTGACCACGTGCTCCTCGACTGCAATTATTATTAGCCAAGTGGACAATCATAACAGCCGATCACTGGCCTTAGTAATATGCTAGTCACAGGTCAGTCCTTCAGACGTGGGTTACTAAGCTGTCCGCCGGGAAGGAGAAAGCATCCAAGCCACCTCACGTTTGTGCAGGATGGGGACCGGAGCACATCAGCCAGCAGTCGTTCTGAGGTCTGGAGCAGTGGCTGGGGAATCACGGAGAAAGCAGCATTGGTACAGACCATGGGATCGGGGGATGCCAGGGGGGATGGAGGAGAGGGGGCGTTAAATGAACTCTAAAGTTAGACTCACATAATCCTGTTCTGGCAAAGTTTGAGCTATTTTACAGTTCTGTGCTGCTAAACTTAAATGTCATTTAAGTAATGAAGGTGGAGCAACAATCCCATGTTGGCTCACACCGTTTTGTTGCAGATCTTTGGCCCTGTTCAGGAAATTCTGAGGTTTAAGACTATGGATGAAGTTATCGAAAGAGCCAATAACTCAGACTTTGGACTTGTAGCAGCTGTCTTCACTAATGACATCAACAAGGCACTCACGGTGTCTTCTGCAATGCAGGCTGGGACTGTTTGGTAAGATGAGTCAGCCTCATGGTTCTGGCCGTAACGCACACCACTGGCGGTACTGTAGGGGCCTCATGATCTCTGGAGCGTGGGTCATAAGCATATCCTCCGGGGGGATGGGGAAGACGGAAGGCAACCAGCCTTCGCCCTGAAAAGGGATATACACTCCTTAATGGCTAGGTCAGGAGATCAAAGTCAATTTTAAATTCTAAGTATTTCATATGCAAAAAGGGGAATTAGAAAATAAAACTTTTAAAAGAAATATTATGCTGAGGGGACTACTTTTGTACAAGCAGAATTCACACTCACGGTACTATGTTTTCTTCTCTTAGGATCAATTGTTACAATGCCTTAAATGTCCAGAGCCCCTTTGGGGGATTCAAGATGTCTGGAAATGGGAGAGAAATGTAAGTGTCCAGAGTTGCTGGTGCCTGCAGAGAAACAGGGATTACAAATACCAGCCTAGAGGAGCAGGCACACAATTGTTTAATTCTCTTACTCTCATCCATTCATTCAGCAAACAGTTTGTTAAGCGCGTACTTCTGTAAACGAAGCGCTGTGCTACATGTCACAAAGATGAATAGAACACAGCTCCCTTCCCTTACGTGGGAATGGATAAAAATTAATGTACCATCTATTTCATAAAATCAGGGCTGCTTTCTTGATAGAAGTGTGCCAAACCTCTTGCAGGTACAGAGGAAACAATCCATGGAATTTGCCTGATGGGGTCCAAGAAGACTTCACAGAACAAAAACCGTTTCAGTTTGTGAGGACCAGTCTTGCCATGTAGAGGGAATAGCAGGAACAGAGGCATGAAGGCACAACAAATACAGAACATCAGGGAGTTTGGTGTGTTTAAAACGGAGGTCACCACCTGCCAGCCCAAGGACAAATCTGGCCTGCAGAAATGTTTCACTTTGCCCCACATTTTAAAATCCTTAACTGGCATTCAAAAATGAAGAGGCTCTCCGTAAAATCTGGATTTCTTGCTTATTTTCCTTCCCCCATGGCAAAATTGCTGCAGCTGTGAGCTCTAGAACTCGCCTTCTTCCCCACTGTTCTTCCTGCTTCTGGGGCCTGAATATTGGTAGCCCTTCGTTTTCACACATGCCCAAGCCCCTCCCTTACATCACCTGCTCGGCCCCTGTAGGTTCTCTGAGGCTGGGACTGCAGGGTTCAGACGTAGGATGTCTGGAGGATGCTGAAGATACAAGTGGAAAGGTTGTTTTAAACCCAGTCTCAAGAGGGCTTGGACATTCTGTGGGAGCTGAGGAGATACCAGAGGTTTTAAGGCCGAGATTTCTGGCAGGTAGAGGATGTCCTGGCAAAGACTAGAGGAAGAAGACCAGTCACAAGGATTTTACAATTAACACTGATAGGTATCACTCATTAAATGCCCGCTCCGGGTATGGCTTTATGTTAGCTTTTTTCCTAATGTCGTCTCATTTGATTTTCATGAGGACGGAGTGGAATCGATACACTTCCCCTCACGTCCCACATGGTTCGGGTGGAGAACTGGGGCTTGCGCTAGCGGAGCAGCTTGCCCAGGTCACACAGCCAGTAAGTGGCAGATGTGAGGTTTGAATGTAGGTTTCAGTGGCTCCCGTGATATGCAGCCAAGGAAGCAGGGAGGCCAGGTGCAGGGACTCTTCAAGGGCGGGATCAGAGCTGTGAGGGGTCCTCCTGTGAGGCAAAAGGACCTGAAAAATGGGACTGTAGCAGAGGAGAACTACACTCAAGGGGGTGTTATTTGCCACCTTCATATATAAATGGATTTTTTGAGCGGCATTCAGGGTGTGAATGGTAGCCAGGGTCTTCCTGAGCTGACACGCACCCCCCCAACAAAAAAAACAACATTTTCCCCTTGGGGCACCTGAGTGGTTCAGTCGGTTAAGTGTCCAACTCTTGATTTCAGTTCAGGTCATGATCTCAGGGTTATGAGATCGAGCCCCACATTGGGTTCCTCACTGAGTGTGGAGTCTGCTTGAGATTCTTTCTCTCTCCCTCTTGAAAGGAGCTGGTTCCGTGTTTCTTAAATCCTGTGACTCCCAAGGGGAAACATCCTTATGTCCATTCCCTCTGCCATTAATGAATGCATCCTTTTGTGAGCCAGTGCCAGTTCATGATCAGTCTGCGGAAGTAGTGAGTGTTTGTCCTGTGGGAGAAGATGTGGTTCATCAAAGCACTTGAGATTTTGCTGGATAAATGAATATACAACACTGAAAGGATCAGAAGAATTCCAGAGAAGACCGTGAAGTCATAGAGGAGTTCAGGGATGGGGGAGATCATTGTGAGCTATAGAAGCCTGGAAAACCTTTAGGTAGGATCAAACCTAAGGATTTGAATTGGCCTTTAAAGGAGAGGAACATTTGGGTAGCTGGAGAGAGGGGAATAATTTGCAGGATTGGTAAGGAAGAGTGAGTAGTGGCAATTGTGGGAGAAACAAGTATGGTGTTGGGGACAAAGTCAGTGAACCCGTAAGACCAGTGCAGAGGATTTACATGCTTCAGATACTTCAGCTGGTAATTTCTAGCTCTTAGCCATTAAACTGAAAGTTAAGCATAGCGGTGAGGCTAAGAGCAGAATTTCTAGAATCACATGGCTTCAGATACGTATCCTGGCCCTGCCACTTAATACCTATGTAACCTTGGGGCGCCTGGGTGGCTCAGTCGTTAAGTGTCTGCTTTCGGCTCAGGTCATGATCCCAGGGTCCTGGGTTCGAGCCCCATATCGAGCTCCCTGCTCGGAGGGAAGCCTGCTTCTCCCTCTCTCACTCTCCGAGCTTGTGTTCCCTCTCTCGCTGTGTCTCTCTCTGTCAAATAAATAAAATCTTAAAAAAAAAAAAATACCTATGTAACCTTGGACAAATTACTTCATCTCACTAAGCCTCTGTTTCCTCATCTTTAAAATGGGAATAATTATAGTACCTACCCCAAAAGTTGCCATGAGGATTAAAGGGTAGGATTCAGTGTTCCAGATATCCAGCAGTGTCTGGCAAGCCTTCAGAAATGTTAGCTGCTATTGTCACTAGTGGTCAAGTAGATGAGTGTTATGTAGGTGATCCTCCTTCTTCCTAATAAATGTCTTACTTTGGAAGTGTGGCAGAATGTTTTCCCGAATTTCAGCTCGCATCATCAACTTCTGTTCTGTCCCTGGGTATGCTGGGAGAAATCGCTCTTGTTTGAGTCTTGCTTCTGGCCTTCAGTTTTTCCCACTCGCTTTACAGCAAGTAAACCAGAGGATACAGAAGCAGTCTGGATCCTCTTTGCGCGGTTATCAGTATTTTTTCAGCTTTTATAAAGTCTTCGTGTACTCCAGCTATCACTTCCTAACTTGCATATGGCCTTCACTTTCTGCTCCCACTTTTCAGGATGCATGTAACTTGATATTCCGTGTCCTGCTTCTGTGTTTGTGCCTTCCTGGTCTCTGAAATGTTGGGACAACCCCTGGCTCGGGGAATGCTTCTCACGCCACCTGTTTTGTTACAGATCATTAAGAGTGTGAATCATGGGCATAAAATATAATAAATAATCGCTGGTTGAGGGAGCTTGTCCCAGACTTGTCCTGGACCCTCAGCATGGACAGGATTCAGGCTTGTGACATTGTCCAAGTCCAGTCTATTCCCATTAGAAAGCTTCCCCTTGCCTGGAAAGACAAGGAGACAAACTTGCTGGGAGACAGTTTGGCTGTGTCAGAACCACACAGAGAACAGTGGCCCAAGAGACTGAAAAGCAGCCTTTCTCGACTTATCTCGGTGCTGTAGTGATTTGGCCTTTGCAGTGCAGTTAAAAAATAATTAGGGAACAGTGCTCTTTGATGAGACTCACTTCATCTTGTCTAGATTATATGATTCTTTGTCCCTACTTGCTCCCCAAACATGTTTTTTCTTCCTTAAATGACCTAGAGTGGTCGCAAAGGCTTCAAATAAAAGAACCTACTCTATCCTGGTCCCCCACTCTTCCTTGCTACTTACTGCAATCCCAGAAACTCCCCTTACCCTCCTCTGGACAGTACCTTTTATCTCCTGGCCTTGCAAACCCCATGTGGCTCTGGTCCCTGGCACCCCTTTTCCCACCTCTCAGAGGCACGGAGAAGCAGCACTTTCTGGAAACAAGCTCCAAGGCGGGCTGTGGGAGCACCGGAGTTCTCCCCCCACAGAGCGCTGTGGAGGGCTGCCCTCTACAGGTTCCCCGATGGGCTGGCCTCTGATCCCGAGGGTCAGAGAGGGGGGCGGCTCACCTCAGGCCTGCCCTGCAGCCAGTTCCCCGTTTCATTCCTCCCGACCCCTCCCTTACTCCTCATTTAAGCTTCCCTGAGACAAGCTATAAAATACATGTCACAAACTGAGCACATGGAAAGAAAGCTGTGAACCTCAGCATTTTAAAAACTAAGGACACTGGGTTTGAAGATGAGAAGCATTATTAGGATAATAAGGGCTTCCCAAGTTTGCATGCACATGCATGCGTGCCTGTGCGCTCATATTTAGGTGCAGAGCATGCCTGTGCATAGAAAGTCACCTGTGGTCTGGGAGAAGGGCTTGCCAAACATTCCTGTCTGGGGACCCACTCTCAGAGATTTGGTTTTAGTAAAGCTGGGCTAAGGCTGAGGATCTGCATTGTTAACAGGCTTCTGGAATGATTCGGCACAGGTGGTCTGGAGACCCTGCTCTGCAAAATGTTGCTGTAAGGCAAAGAAAAGAGCAGGGAAGTATACATCCTACATGGAAATCCCTCTTTGTTCTTTGAGTGATTTTCTACAATGACTGACTGAGAGGCACCCAAATCTAACATCTTACCCTGCCTGTGGAGTGCCAGCTTTGGTTCGTGGTAGGGGATATAACCCAGTCTGACTCAGAAGCAGGAACACAGGCGTCTGAGTGTACCTCTGCCCGGACGCACTGTGGAGCTCTGCAGGCGACCATACAGAGAGATCGGGGTGCAGCAGGAGCGGCGTGTCTGCGTTTGCACCGTAGTGCCGTTCTCCCGTAACTGTGGGATTTAACTGGATTCAGTTAGATTGGAGAGAAAGCCCCCAGAATGAGATGGTGAAACAGCAGAAGAATCTAAACGTGGGGCCCTCAGAGACTTTCTAGCAGCGCTTCTCAAAGGGTGGCCCAAACAGCCACCTGCATTACAGTCTCCTGGGCTCCTCCCCAGACCTACCAGGACAGAGTCTTTGGTGGGGATGGTCAGGAATCCACAATGTAAGCAAGCTCCAAGGGCGATCCTTACATTTCTTGATGCCTGAGAGATGCCCGGGCACCAGGAGGATGGGGTGGCTCGCCTAGTCTTCCAGCCAGTTAATGGCAGAGCTGAGTGGGCATGCCTGCCTGCTGACCCCCAGCTCCAGGGTTGTTTTTATGACAGATTTGAGGCCACTCCTCATTCTCGGAGCCGGCTGTGTGCAGACCAGGGTGGCAGATGGCTGCCCGAGACACAGTGGAGGAGCTCTTCTAGCCCAGGATGATTTTCCATCACATTGTGCACCCAAAGATTACAAGAGCCAATCATCACACTCAAAAGCAACCATACCACCAGGCTTCTGAGTCTGTAGGCTTCCTTCCGCTTCTCACAACCAACTTAGAGATCTGAGTGGGAGGAGATGGTTCAGGGTCTGCCCCGTGTGCGTGCGCAAGCCAGGAAACAAGAAGGGAGTAACCTCACTTCAAACGGGAGGCAGATGATGTCCGTGATGAAGAGACACTTTCAGAATTGCCCAAGGGCAGGAAAAAGTCCAGAAGGAGCCAGAGCTGGGCTGGTAATAGAGACTCAGGGCCTGGAAGGAGCTAATGAGGGGACCTCATACTGAGTGGGACAGTCCCAAACTGATTCTCATTCCTGTAAGCAAGATGGCCAACATGGATAAGAGGGCAGCACACATGCCCTGGTCTCTCCCTGGCTGCCTCTGATGTCCCAGCGGGAAGGGCACGGGCATGACAACTCAGGTGACCTGGGTGCTCAGAGTTGCTGCTGGCAAAATAATTGGAGCTTTACGCAGGGCACGGGGTTCCTGGAAGGAAGCGGCGTGAATCCCTTACAGCAGGTCTTGACTGTAAAGCCCAGTCACTGTAACATTGTATCTTTCATACATGACTGTTTGGGATCTTTTTTAAAGATTTATTTCTTTTTAGATTGGGGAAGGGGGAGAGGGAGAGGGATTCCCAAGCAGACTCCGCACTGAGTGTAGAGCCCAACACGGGGCTCGAGCTCACAACCCTGAGATCACGACCCTACCCGAAACCAAGAGTTGGCTGCTTAACCAACAGCGCCACCCAGGCGCCCCATATGTGACTTTTTTATCAATATTTTCTTACTCAAATAAATCTCTCAGTGTTCTTTTGTTTCTTCCTGGCAGAGGTGGTATATCCACCGGGTGGAACTGGGGAAGGGGGGATGGGGAAAAGCCCGCCCTCTGTCCCTCCCTTCCGCAAGTGCCGTCCGAGCCTGGAGCCGTGGGCTCTACACCAGGTTCGGCAGCGGGCAGGAAGCAGGAACAGTCAGCTACAGGTCCGCGGGGGGAGATGGCCTCTCCCCCAGGGACAGGTGACAGCTCTGTGCTGGCCGGCGCCCCAGGTGCTCTGTGAACACAGAGGAGGGAGGAGCTCCTCCCCGAGACAGCCAGGGAAAGCCTCATGGGCCAGTGACTTTAAAAAGACTAGAGGTGGGAAAAAGTTCAATTTTTAAAAGAGAAAATTAGGAGAATGTGCTTGACTTTACAATGAAATAAAGGAAAGGGGAAAAGGGCAATGGAAATGAGGTGAACTGAGGAGAGAGGACACAGAGGGGAAGGCCGGGAGCTCGGCAGCTGCCGGCTGGACTGCACCCGGCCCCCTGAGGGCAGTGGCCGGAGACCGGCGCAGCGGGACCAGGGGGCCAGGAGGGGCAGCGTCCCCTGGCCCCTGCAGAGGCAGGGGACCCAGCTCCCACCCCATAAACGTTCACCCAGAGTCTTGGGGAGCCCGCTTACTGCCACTTCCTTTGAAGTCAGGTACTTGGGTTTCCTCCCTCTTTCCCCTGACTGTGGGCCTGTGGGCAGCCCGCGTCAGGACTGTCTTCCAAGCGCTGCTGGTGATCCGTGCTCTTCCCTTCCCAGGCCTTTGGGTCCCCGCTTCCGTTTGTTAAGTCTAAGGAGCAGTGGAAAGGAATTTAGAACATCCAGGGGATCCCAGCCTAGAAATCTCAGACTTTTCTTTCAGCTAAAGTGGACTAGGTATCTAGGACAGCGACTAGAACACAGAGACATCGGGGTGTCCGGTGGCAGGAGGAAAGCACAGCATTGTCCTCCAGAGCCATTGCTGTCCGTGGTAGAGACACGGCGGTAGGGGCCTGGGCCTGCTGCTGTCTTTGGTGCCCACCCAGGGGCATGGTCCAGGGTCTGTGTGACCGCTGGCCCAGGCTAACACGCATGCCTGTTTCTCTGAGTAGTTGGGAATGCTGCCCCTTCCTGGGCCATACTGGGAAGACAGATCGGCCTTTGCCTTTAAGAAACGGTCACTGTTGGGGCGCCTGGGTGGCTCAGTTGTTAAGTGTCTGCCTTCGGCTCAGGTCATGATCCCAGGGTCCTGGGATCGAGCCCCACATTGGGCTCCCTGCTCCGCGGGAAGCCTGCTTCTCCCTCTCCCACTCCCCCTGCTGTGTTCCCTCTCTCACTGTGTCTCTCTCTGTCAAATAAATAAATAAAATCTTTAAAAAAAAAAAAAAAGAAACGGTCACTGCTCATGACAGGACAGCCCCCTTTGCTCCTCAGAGGAGGGCTGGACTGTCCACTCATTGGACATTTCTACATGGAAACCCCAGGGCCTACTGTTAGCAGGTGCTAAACGGCCCCTTCTCGGGATTCTTGCCATCACTCACACCAGGCTGCCTGGGCCTTGGGTGTCTGACACAGCCTATTTCTGCCTTTCAGGGGGGAATTCGGCTTGCGAGAGTACTCCGAGGTGAAGACGGTGACAGTAAAGATCCCTCAGAAGAACTCCTAAGAAGGCCAAGGAGGAAGGTGGAGGCCAGCCCACAGGACCCTCCCTCTCTGCTCTCCCTGGGGGGCCTGGCTCTCAGGAATCCAAAGTTCATACCCAGTCCTTATTTAAAGATTTAAATAATGACATGTAGGCCAGGCCGGTCACTGCATAATGAAAGCAGACCATGTGGGCATGGTTTCCTGGCACTCTGTAAGGGATCACCTTAAGGATACCAAATATTGGGAAAGTGGGATGACGGCAGGAGAAGTCACTGTCGGGTACATCCAGTGCCTCTTTCCGGAGTGATGGGCTGATGCCTTTCGTCACAAGGAACTTTCCTCCTGAGGAAAGGTCATCTTTCCGTTGTCTCCATTTTCCCCCTTCCAGGCTCTCTCTGCTCACTTCCCTCCCACCCCTCCCACCCCTCCAAGGAGATCTCAGCTGAGCTCATTTGGGGCAGATGTTTGGGCCGGGAACAATTTTCCAAGGTTTTGCAGCCAAATTACCATTTCATGTTATCCACTTCTTCAAAGCAAAACATGAAATGGCTTTAGTTAGAGCCAGACCAGACCGAAACTGCCAGGAGCTGGTACACTGCAGATGTAACGAGAACTAAGAACTCGATGTTCCTGACCCAGTCTGGCTTTCATATATCCATAAAAGACACGAGTGAAAGATCAGGAAGATGCAGATCGAGAGGTGATCACATGTAGTTCACAGCTTCTGAGCTTGCCACTTGGTTTTAGGGTGTGTGGGTGTGTGTGTGTGTTTACTTCCTTCTGGGTGATTCTGGAATAAGGCCGGGGGGGGGGTTGTTTTTCATAGACTGATAAGATCTTTTTCCAAAGCTTCTCTTAACAATCAACCCTAAAATGAACTGAGTCGGCTCAAGAATTTGGTACCAGGTAATCCTGGGGGCCTTGCAGAAAGAAGTTCATTTCCCTACTGGCTGACAATTCTTAGGAAGTGAATTATCTCTGCAGTTGGACTCCACAGCTGCTTCTGCTCCCCAGGCCCCCTGCACCAACCCCACTCCTCCCAGTGCTCTGGGTGTTACTGCAGCCTCTCTTGCCCTAAATGCACTGGCAGTAACCTTGGAAAATCCGGCCAAGCCTGGAGGTTCCATTTCCATTCTTAGAGTTGCAGTATGCCATGATTGCCATGTTCCACCAGCGCCCCCCGCCCCATGCCCAGTGGCTCGTCCACACATGGTTTTCCCAACAGGCCTCCTGAGGGGGAGGCACAAAGCAGCCCCTCTCCCTCTCCCCCAGCCACACACCTCCTCTTCTGCTTTCCAGTGCATCCACCAGCTGATGGACAGTGTCGACTTCCTTTCCTCCTTCCCTTTTTCCAGTTGCTGAATCCAATCCAGTCTGTAACCTAGATGAAGATCATTTATTTAAAAGTACCAAACATAACCTAGAAGTACATGGAATATGGGCAACGCGTAGATAGCCTTCTGTATGTAATGGGTTTCTGCTTTCTAACACACCAGTTTTCTATTTATGAGTCTCGTCTATTCATGATGTCTAAAAGAAATCTCCGTTTGCTGTTATTTACGAACGACAGTGCATTCAGTGGCCCGGTGCCTCTAGAGACGCCACGCTTCTGAGTTCTTCCATGTGAATGTCATGCTCTCCTCTTCTAGCGTGTGTCCAAGTGAACATACCCATTAACCAGCTAGTTTACCTTTCAACTGCAATATAGAATGTGAAGATGAAGATTTATTTCTTTTAATTTACTTAAAAAGAAACCTCTGTGCTAGCAATAAAGCATTTATATTGTGTACTCCTTGGGATTATGTGGCTGTGTTTATAAATCTTCGCGTCATACTGAGTACACTTGGGTCCTCTCAGCTGCTGGGTTTTTCAGCTGTGTTGTTTTCTCTGGTTACTGAGCAGGAGTCTGGGAGAGTATTTTTACAGAACACAATAAGCAACACCCTTGTTTTCTGACACTATTTAAAATTTGTGTACACATACTGTTTTATGTGGCCAACAAGTAGAAACATGGATGAAATCTATGAAAAGACTGTTTTAATTCAAAGTTGCCTCCCTGAAAGCTAAAACATGAAGGAGTGTTGAGGGCCTTGTCTTCAGAGTTGTGCGCTACATGACAGCGCTCAAATCGCTGATGGCACTTGGCAGTAGCTTTATTTTTATTTACCGTGGTGAGATGAAGTCAAAAGCTGACAACCTGATGCACTATTTTTGCAGCTGCAAAAAAGAAGCTGTAAGTGGTGACTATTACCAGCCAGAGCTTGTTTGCTCTCTCCACGTTCTCAGAGTTGAGCTTTTGGGGAGAGGTTTCCCCCCCTCCAGACTCGTACATCCTCTCCTTCAATGCTTGGAGTCTCCACCCGTGTCCTGGTCCAGTGAGACAAAACAAAAACTGATGAGTTGGCCACAAAGAGAATCAGACTTGGGGCGGGACGTGTTGCTCTCTGACTGCTGACACCTCGTCCCTCGGAGGAACAAATTAAGCCTGGGGCACGGGGTCCCCGGGCGCTGGGACATACTCTGAAATAGAAGATGTGGGCTCCCTGTGATTCTATCTCATGTCCATTACCTTGAGCCACCAGGAAGAAAACGAGAATGAGATGGGCATAGAGTAATCATGGAAAGTCCTCTGGCAGGTGGCATTACAGAGCTTACAGATCACAGGAATCCAGAATAAGATAGTTATAATTTGATGGTTCTTTAAAGCATAAAGTCCCTCAAACCTCATCCCTTTATGGTACCAACATAAAGGCAAATGACAGCATTGCAAATGTCACTAATGAAACTAACACAGAGATACTCCGTCATTTGCCATCAGCACCATACATCTGTGGTCTTTTTTTCACTGTTAACCCCTGAGATTTCCATTATACCTTTTCCTCCAAAACATGCTCAGTGCCTTCATATTGGTGATCTCATGCTTTCTCACTACCTTTTAGATAACAAAGGGCAAGAATATTATAACGTAGGGATTAAGAAACAGTGAATACACTGAACTGCACAATAAAACAGAAAGATGCCCAAGAAAAGAGGACAGTCTGAGAAGCTAGCAGAGGAGGTGGGTTTTGAACTGGGCTTGAGGATGGAAGGTAATGCCGACAGGCAAGGGAGCAGGAAGCAGGCGCTCTGGGGAGATGGTCATCTGCCGGGGCCCTGAGGCAAGGCAGGGCTCGGTCATGTGATCATGAGATGGGACAGGCACCGCGTGCCGGAGAGTGTTCAGAATGCCGATGGCCCCGGGGGTCAGCCAGAGCTCCCTGATACTGAGATAGAAAATGGGCGGGGGGTCCCCAGTGGCTTGGGGACAGAAGAATGAGGAGGCAGGGTTTAGAGCTTACCATTCTGGAGCAGAATGGATGGCCGGAGAAGCAGACTGATGGGGGGATGAGTTTGGCGTGATCCTGGCATGGTCACGGGATGGAGAGGAGGGAACCAAATCAGTGGGGACGTCACCAGAACTCGGTGAGTGAACATGAAAGAATGAAAAGTAAATGAGTATGTTTTCAAGCCTGGCTGAGAAGGAAATGGCAATGCCATGGCCACAGAAGTGGAACCAAGAAGCTGAACACAGGGAACAGAGTTTTAGGGAGAGATCTTGACGTCCAGCTTTGGACCTGTCATTTTGGGGGGTGACGAAGGGATATCCGGACAGACCCGCAGGCAGTTGGAGGTAAGAGATTGGAACCTGGCTCGGGTGACTGGACTGGGACACGAACATAAGAGTGATGGCTGTCTGTACAGAGAACACAAGAATAAAAACAAAACCTGGGCCAAGGAGGAGGAGGAGCTGCGTGAAAGAAATGAAGGCGGTGGCAGAGAGCTGGGAGGAAACGCTGTCAGAGGTATACCCCAGAAACCCAGGGCAGCGAGCTCAAGAAGGACAGGCAGCCGAGAGGTTGAAAGGACGGGGATGGTTTGAGGAGCCCTGCATTAGGGGATTTTGAATTTCCAGAGCCCCATGGAAAGAGAGGACGTAAGCTCCCTGTCTTAAGTTAGAAGAAACTTGAGCTGGATTAGGTGGCGGAGGTCAAGAGGAGGAAACAGGCCTCCGGAATAAGCGTGACAATGTGGGTAGAATTGGGGAAGGTGCAGAGAGGAGGCATAGCAGGACTGCTGGGGAAGATCTCCAGGCCCTTTACTGCCCTACTGGCTGTATTTTCTGCGGGGGCAGAATGGAAAGACTCACTGCCAGTTACATGTACTTAGACAGTCACTTCTTAGTTTTTCTAGCTGGTTTTTTTTGTTGTTGTTGTTGACTAACATCCCCAAAATATTTAAAGTCAATCACAATGCTTCAACTATAACAGGAATAATAGAAACAACAACAACAGCATCACATGAATTAAAAAACGGGATGAGAAAAGAAGAAAACAAAGGTGGGAAGCTAATGAATGCAGACGGAACGAGGCTGGAAAATACACATTCCACGAAGTCCTGGCACTGTTCTCGGGGGTCGCCACCAGCCGGTCAGGGAAGAGCCGGCACTGCCGACCAGTGACCCTAAGAAGCCACCCTCCTCCTCCGTCCCCTTCTCTTCCTTTCCCTCTCTCCGGCAAGGTTTCTGACGCCAGGCGCTGGCATGGATGCGGGAGCTCAAAGTGGGCCGGGCACGGCTCCTGCCCTGGGGAAGCTCGCAGGCCAAGGCTGCTGCTCCCTGTGGGGGGCCCCGTGCTTTGCTCTCACTGTAACTCCTTGCCGGGCACATGCATCCAGCTGATAGAAGGGTCCTGTAGACCCTCTTTCCCACGTCCTTGGGGTGGTCATCCGGAGTGACAGCTCGGCTCACAGACACAGCTGACCAGCAGTGTGGCAAGAGTGAAAAGCACATCGCCCCAGAGGGTCCAGGAAGGGATGAGCACTGCTCACTTGGAGTGCCTTTACAAGTTGTGTGTCTTTGGGCAGGTCACCTCACTTCGAGGGGCCTCCCCTTTCTCTGTGGGATTGGGATGATCATGCCTGCCCCGCCTACCTCGCAATGCGGTGTGGGGATGAAAACCTCTTGGATGATCTATTTCTTCAGGTGCTCCAAGACGTCATGCCGCACACACAGCTCTGAACTACAAAAAGTCATCACAGGGTGACTCCGTTGCTTTGCCGATCAGTTCCTAAGACCCCAGAATCTGTCATTTCTCACCCAGGTTTGAGGCCATCATTTAGACCCTAACTCTCTCGGATAGGACTCGTGGCCTGGAGGCAGGCCACACGTGCATCTCTCGAGCCCGCTAGGGGCAAGCGATGAATGCAGCTCTGACCGTTCCCCCAGTTTTGGTCCTGTGTGTTCAACGCTTTGTTCAGAGCCCGCGTGGGGTGATTGCGAGGCCCGCGGGCTCGGTGCCGCCCCGAGTATCTTACACAACTGCTCCTCGGTGGAGATGGCTGGGAACGAGAGCATGGGAAAGTCCACTCCAGAACCACATGAGCCCTCTTCTGAAACACGCATTGTCTCATTCTCACTTGGTTATTGGCCAGATTAAAAAGAAGATCAGCTTGCCATGTAGCCTTTGATGTGAAACTGCTTAGATAATGTTTCCTTTGGCCATTTATCTATGTAGCAAGGAGGAACCTGAAACCAGCCTGGCCTGGGCCCCCTTCCTGCTGGAGCAGGAGCTCCTCTTAATGGTTTCAAGGTCCTTGAGCCTTGCTTTTTGGGTTTGTTCCTCAAGAGCAGGTCCCGTCCTTCTTCTCCTTCTCATGAAATAGACGTTACTTATCAGGTGGGCTTGAGTTGCCTCATCTCTTTTCCAGTG